AGTACCTCAGCGAGTACCCCCGGGGCAGGCCGCCGCTCCGGGGCCCCCGGGCCGGCCCCTCGCCCGCGGCCCCCGGCCGGGCCCCGCCCCCCTCTGGCTGCGCCTCCTGGCCTCTCCAGCAAATTAAATGATTATGGATTAATTATCGACAGGAAGCGGGATGAGTCAGAGAGAGAGAGAGAGAGGGTGGAGGTGGTGGAGTGGGAAGGCGCCCGGGTGCAGGCAGGAGGTCCAGAGGTGACACTGCAGCCCATTCCGGTGGGCGCTGGAATAGCTGCAGTTACGAGCCCGGTCAGCACGCCGCGGCCCCGGGGGACTTCTCCCTCGCCGAGAGGCGCGCACGGCCGCCGGTCGCCCTTGAAGTGCCTGAGAGCCCTGCGCCCCGCCGCCCCACCGCCCCATCGCCGAGGTCTTCGCCCAGATCCCGCCGAGATCCTCTCAAACGCGCCGTATTTGGACCATGGGGTGATCGGCGTAGAGCCGCGCGCCCTATCTGTCGTGGACCATCTCAACGAGTTCGGCTGTGCCTCGTGGTGCGGCTGACGATGAGGTTCTGCCGGGCTCCTTCTGGTGGACATCGTGGTCGTGGTGGACGTCGTGGTCCTGGTGGACGTCGTTGTCCTGGTGGACGTCGTGGTCGTGGTGGTCGTCGTGGTCCTGGTGGACGTCGTGGACGTGGTGGACGTCGTGGTCCTGGTGGACGTCGTGGCCATGGTGGACGTCGTGGTCCTGGTGGACCCTCCCAGCGCCGCCGTCGTGCACAGCACGGTCTCGCTGGCGGCGGCTGCAGAGGGCCTCGGCGGCGGCGCTAGTTTAACGGCCACCCCTCCCGCTCGACGGCTCCCCTCCCCCTCTCATCTTTGCGCGCCACTTTCCGCCATTTCTTCCTAATTTGGGCGGGTTTCGTTCATTACCGCGGAGGGGGGCGGGCAATCAGGTGCTTCCCATGCCGGCCGCGGCTCCCATTACCGACTGCTTAGTCGTCAACTTCCTCCGCGTCAGGGAGTCTGTCTGCCCGGCGCGGCCCGGCGCAGCGTGGCGCAGCCCGGCCGACAGGGCCGCTCTGCTGCTGGAGCCCTACGCGAGCCCTGTGCTGTGCGCACTGCTGCTGCTCGGCTCATTGAACGATTCCTAATCATTATCATCTTTTTGCATGAGGATGCTTATCTCTCTCTCCGCAACCCGGCTAATACATGTTATGTATCGCGTCATGCACCAGACTGTGGCCGAGAGAGAGGAGTGAGAGAGGGGGAGGGGGAGAGGGAGGAAGGGAGAGAGAGAGGGAGAGGGAGAGAGAGGGAGAGAACCTTGCGGAGTGTTGGCGGTGTCCGCGGGCCGTACCGGAGGCTCCGCTCACGACAGGGGGTGCCCGCCGGTGCCCGCCGGTGTGCGGCCCGGGCCCGGCCGCAGCGCTTCGGCCCGTTCTGATTTATATATACGCTGTGCAGTGTGTGCCGCTTAATGGTCCTGGGGTGCGCTGCACGGCCCGGTGTGCAGGGTGGTGGTGTACACTGTGCGGGCTGCCGCACGGGCCTTCTGCTCTTGTAATAATTGTGGGCGACCGGTGTGACCGCTGTCCCGCACTCAGAAAGAAATTTTTGGCTGCAGTCGGTAAACTTTTGATACTTACCACCTACCACCATAATGTTTTGTTCCATCCGTCTGAGTTAGTCATAAGCATCCATTAGGGAAAACTTCGTTGGATTAAACACATGCCCGTTGTAATGATTGTGAAACAGATTTGTCGTCTGGATAGGAAGAATTCCTACAGCTATATCTAGCGTTCAGGCTTTCTTAATTCTTACGACAGTTCTTTCTCACACGAACTGAAAGTTTTTGAAGCTTAGTCTACCGGGTCGTCGGTGTCCCTCCGACGCGGAGCGTTTGCTCGCTCAGTGGCCCGAGTCCTGAACGGCACCCTCGGAGCCCCTGGGGAAGGCCCACGGTTAGTCGCAGTCATCCGGTGGCTCGTCCAGTGGTTGTCTCAGGTTTAAAATGATTTACTAAAAAAACCTTCGTGATTTAGAACACTTCCACTCGCGGGGTCAATTCTTTCTTTTACAAAAGAAATGGTCGCTCTTTTTCTCACGCTGTTATTTCCGGAAGGAAATCATGTCCTCGAGGATCAAGTAGGCCTAAGTCTATTTTACCGCAACTCTTTGCCCCTTTCTAACGGCAGTCAGGCAGGCGGTGAATAGAGGTCCGCGTGGAACTTTTACCCCTTTCCTCCATTTCTTTACCTCTTAAAGTGCGCCCGGGGGAGCTGGAGGGGGATTCGGCATCTCGACTACGAGCCTTGTAATGAAAGGAGGCCAGACTCTTTGCGTTGTCTTTATGACGAACAGGAAGTCCTGGCGGCTTCTCCGCTAACCCCCGCGCAATTAAGGATGATTGCGTCCTAAACAGCTACTTACGCCCCGGCGCCCCACAGGGAGGGCGCTCGCGGGCCGCTCTAGGTGCGCGCCGGGCCGAGCTCTTTTCGGTGGGTGGCGGAGTGGACGTGCACTCTTTCGTCTTTTTAATTATTCTTTCTGCGATACTGTAACTTACTCCGTTCTGCTGTCAGGGCATTTAAATTTATTGAACCCCTCGCCCCTTTCTTACATTTCATTATTATTAGAATTCCCGCGCTGCTGCGCCAGTTCTTTTGTTTTTTCTCGCGCGCTCCTTTTTTTTCATGAACGTTTAATTGCCGGTCTGCAGGACTCGTATTTGGCAGGCTGGCGCGTTGCGTTGGCCCCACCCCTCCCCCTCGCGGCACCTTACTGCTGCTGAACGCATTACTTGTTGATCCCCGAGAGCTTTGCGCAGCAGCTCCGCTCAGCGCCGCTCAGCTCTGCTCAGCTCCGCTCGCAGCGGCTGGATTTTTCATAGCACTACTCCTCTGGCGCTGGCGGAGATGTGTTGAAAACTTGTTCCTCGACTTAGCCTCGTGTATGGGCGCCAGCCCCGGCGGCAGTTAGCGGCACGGCTGGGCTGTTAGCGCGAGTAACTTCAAAACTGTATGGCGCTGAGGCTAAAGCGGGTAAGCCAGCGTATGTGTAAGAGGGAAAGAGGGAGGGGGGTAGGAGGTACGCGAATCCAGCGCATGCCTGCAGAACGAGAAAAAGAGAGAACGGAGCTCGGAATAGAGTCCAACAGATGGATGTGTAGATGGCGCCGGGAAGTCCCAAGGAGGGCCGGAGGAATTTCCCTATTAGGTGTTATGTAGTGTGGGAGTGAAGTGGAAAAAAGTGGTGTCGCCCCTCTGAGGGAAAAGAGGGCCGGGCCGAGTCCAACGGGGGGAGGGAGGAGGGGAGCGGGCGGTGGCACCGCCGGGGACACCGCGCTTTGCTATGCAGATGAACCATTAAAAGAGTAGGGGTGTCTATTATGCCGCCTTGGAGACTTCGCGCGGCGTGGCGGGACCGTCGTCGCGGAGGGTGGCGGAGCGTGGCGAGCCGTGGCGACCCGTGGCGGGGCGGGGAGGCACCGGGAGGCGGAGAGCCGTCGAAGGTCCGGATGTGAACTCTGATGTTACGATCGTGGTTAGTCCTTCCACCCTCTCCAGCGCCGTGGCGCCGTCCCGCCCCCGTCCCGCCCCCACCGCCGCCGTGCAACATATGCCCCGGAGGTCAATGAAAGGCTTTTTTTTCCTCTCGCCTTAACTTTATTTTTAATGTTGCGAGAATGGCGCCGCCTGAGGCTGACTGCAGCGCTTCAACAAGTGAGGGGCGGGTGGACTGGCTGGGGCAGGACCTGGAGGGGTCGTCGAAATTATTCGTTATAGCGTACACCAAAAATTTTGTTCACGGCGAAATCCCCTGAAATAAATTAGAACTATGATAACAAAGCAAGATAATAACCTCAAAAAGAAAAAAACAAGAAACAAGTAAGAACCAGTAAGCACGGCGCAAGCAATAATCGCGTACCTTTGAAAGGTTTTTGAAAAATATTAAAAATTCCAAAGTCCTAAAATGCTCTTTAGAGCCGTTACAAATGCATTTAGGTCTAATAAACTTCTGTGCCATATGGCACACCTCTGAGGTGCACCCTCGGGTGCACCTCTGCAAAGTTGCGTTGTATTCAAGTGAATCCGCAATAAGTGGTGTAGTTGCTAGTGTCCAATAAGAAATTACTTTAATTCAAAGAACTTCCTATTACTTTGAGCTTAGGGCAGACGACAATATTTTTATATCAGTATGGAAGTTTCATCGTATGAAAAATGTTCTGCACGCCGAAGTGGTTCGGTGTCGGGTGATGAATAGACAACCTCGCCTCCTCTTAGTCGCACACCGCGCTGAACAAACTGCTGCAAATCGCACAACTTGTAAAAGAGTTGCGCGTTATTATCAGGACCCTTAAGTGTGATGACGCAATGATAGGGCCCCAGATGCGAGGAAGGGGCGGGGCTGGCCGCGCCCCTTCACGCCCCGACCCGCCCCGCTCCTGGGAGGCATTTGCATCAAATACAATGTGTCTCGAGCAATAAACTGCGACTCCTGCTCTTTGTTTTCTCTCCTTTTTTTCCCTTTCTTTTCCTCCCCCGCTCTTGTAAGTCTAATTCCCCGCCGAGGGCTGCAAAACGAATTGACGCGTCGCGACTTTCTTTTCTTTTTTTTTCTCGACTTGCGCGCGAACAATTTGAGAATCTCATATAAGACTGGGGGATAAGTAATTACCCCCCATTAGTGTGACGCCCGTTGTGTTGTCGACGTGTTGTGCGAGCGCAGGAGGATCAGAGGAGACTACGCGGCCGCCCCAAGCACGACTTATCACCAGTGCCTACTCCGTCTAACGTCCCGCCCCTCTTGCTACAAGCCTTTATTTAAAAAGAGTCAAAATTAATGAAAGCAGAACCAAGGTAACGCCGGGTACTAGGTGGTGTAATTGGTGATAACTGGTAGTGATATCGTGGGTGACCTTTCGTTCTTGTCAGTAAACTCTGTAGTGGTAGTAATGTCTGGTAGTAAGTGGTATAGCACGACATGGGTAATACGTATTACGTGGATTCGGTAACATTCAGCAACATCTGGATTAGGTGCACGAACCTTTCTTTGTAGACTTGCAGCAGATCCTAGGCCTAGGCTGCCTCGAACATGCCGTGCCCTTGACTTAAAAACCTTTTAGAAAGAAAAATTAATAATTTTCTCTATTGGTGGAGACCGGCCCCTTTGCTGAAAAGTCATCACCCCTAATGTTGTCATGTGTTTGCTGTTGCAGGTCCCGGCGCTGCCGCCGCCGAGCTTCCCCGGCCGACCCGGACGACCCCGGCGAGCCCCCGCACTGGCTGTGGAGGGCCGTGCGCGCCGCGCTGCCCTTCCAGCTCGCCCTGGTCGCGCTGCTGTGCGTGGCGTGCCTGCTGCAGCCGCACTGCTGCGACCACCTCAACAACCTCAGCCTGTCCCTCAGCCCTCAGCTGCGCTACGCGAGGGGCCCGCCCCCCGTGTAGGCAAAGGTTTAACAGCTTCTTCTTTTGCAGCGCGGTTCCAACTACTTAATTTAGTC